AAATGTGTGAAAAATTGCATTAAATGGCTATTTTGGGGCAATTTTTTGAGTGGGGTCCACTTCCGATTTGGGTCGGGTCAAAGTGGTTTCGGATTGTCCTTGTTGAGGGCTACAATTCGATATATGGTACGCTCAAAACGGATAACGGGTGAATGAGAAATCGCTTTTCGAAGTTTACCCGTTAGAATGGAAAACTGGGAAAAAGGATGGGTTTCTAGTGTGTTAATTTCCCACACCGTAAAACCCAAGGGATTTGCAACCCTTTATAAAGGGACTCTCCCCTTAAGGAGTTAAAATTCCTAAGGGTAAAGGCTCTCTCCACGCGCGCAGGGGGGTGCAAATCAAATCCCGAATTCGGAGAAGAAAAACCGCGACTTGCGTGCGCGGGCGACCTGCGGACACGAATGTCTTGTGGCACCAGAACGCCTCATTCTCTGGTGGCACCAGAACGCCTCGTTCTCTGGTGGCTTCCACCAGAACGCCTCGGTCTCTGGTGGCTTCCACCAGAACACGTCGGTCTCTGATGGCCTCGATCAGAATACCTCGCATAGGTATTCTGCTGGCTTCGACCAGAACACCTCGTAGAGTTCTGGTGGCACTTCTGAACCGTTACAGCAATAAATGCCAAACGTTTATATCTTTTAATGCAGCGTTAAATGGACAGTTCATGGACAATTCAATGCCCAACTGACTGGTCATTGATGTCCAACGTTCAGGTCCATTAATTCACTATTTTCACACAACAAATCCTCCTATATAACGGCTGGCAGGTGGTTTGCAACAACAGACGTTCTTACACGAATTCGTTCTTACACGAATTCATACACATTCTGAAAAATTCATTCTGTGTTCAGACTCGTTCTTGTTCGCTGGAACTCTTGTTTGTGTGCTCAAACATTAGTTTGTAGTCATCGTATCCTAGGAAACGATTGTTGCAACGCTCCTAGCACCGTGGGAGGCAACAAATACGTTTTAAGAACATCGTGCGTAGCACGAGCTTTGACTAATTCTGCTTCATCTCCTTTCTTGTTTTACTCTAGTCATTTTATTTAATTAATTTATTTTAATTAATTTTCTTTATTTTCTGAAACACACCCAACAATCTTAAAACGTATTTGTTTGATTGTTATACCGAGGTATACAATCTTAAAACGTATTTTGTTGCTAAGTTTGTATCATACGGATACAATCTTCAACTGTAGTTTGTCACTTCTGTGAACGAACTTAAATCTTTTTTTGTGTTTTCGGAAAAAACGTTAAGAAAACGAAAATGACTTCGCAAGAAAACGAGATTGGTGTTGGGCAGAATGTTCTGAACGACAATCACTCTGAAAGCGGAGCTCCGGTGAACAATAGTTCACAACGCGGAGCATCTGCTTTGAACCAAAGGGTTATCCCTATGGTTACTGTGCCAAGCAACTCTGTGGAGAAACCCGAAAAATTTAATGGGTTAAACTTCAAGAGGTGGAAGCAAAAGATGCTCTTCTATCTCACTACTCTCGGTCTTGCACGTTTCTTGACCGAGGACGCACCGGTTGTAACCGGGGGTGAGGTGGATGCGCAATCTTTCAACGCGGTTGAAGCTTGGAAGCATTCTGACTTCCTATGTCGAAACTACGTGTTGAACGGGCTGCATGATGCTTTGTACGACGTGTAGAGCAAATTAGTTACGGCTAAGGAGCTATGGAATGCTTTGGACCACAAGTATAAAAGCGAGGATGCCGACGCAAAGAAATTTGTTGTTGGTCGATTCCTTGATTTTAAAATGGTGGATTCGAAGACGGTCTTGAGTCAAGTTGAGGAGATGCAAATGATCTTCAACGAAATTCGAGATGAAGGAATGACAGTTAGTGAGTATTTCCAAGTGGCGTCAATTATTCATTTGTTGCCGCCGGCTTGGAAGGATTTCAAGATTAAGCATAAGCGAAAGGAAATGAACTTGGAGCAATTGATCCTCCGTCTGCGGATTGAAGAGGATAACCGGAAGAATGATGGGAAACTCCCAATCGTTCATGGCGCCAAGGCAAACGTGGTGGAGCATGCAAAAGGCTCCAAAAATAAAAATAATGGGAAGAGCAAGCTCGGTCCCAAGGGAGGCGTTTCCAAGACGAAGTTCAATGGAAAATGATTCAATTGCAATAAGAACGGACACAAGTCCTCGGATTGCAAGGCACCATAGAGAAAGAAAGATTCTCACGTCAACTTGGTGCAAGGTGGGCAAAAGGATGAAGACATCATCCTAGCGGCCGTGGTGACGGAAGTCAACCTCGTTGGATCCAATTCCAAGGAGTGGTTTATGGACACCGGTGCTACCCGGCATATTTGCTCAAACCGGGAGTTATTCACTACTTTTGAGCCATCTAATGGTGAGAAGGTGTGGATGGGAAACTCGGCTCATTCCGCGGTTGAAGGCGTGGGCAAGGTGGTCCTGAAGATGACTTCATGCAAAGAGCTTACTCTAAACCAAGTTTTGTTCGTTCCGGAAATACGCAAAAACCTGATTTCCGGTTCGTTGTTGAACAAACATGGCTTCTGCATGGTTTTTGAGTCGGACAAATTAGTTTTGTCCAAGTCGGGAATGTATGTGGGCAAGGGATATGCATGTGACGGGCATAGCGACGCTAGTTGGATATCTGACATTAAGGACTCAAAATCCACAAGTGGATACATTTTCACTTTGGGAGGTGCAACCGTGTTGTGGAAATCCTCGAAACAAACGTTGATAGCTAGATCCACGATGGAATCTGAGCTAATAGCCTTGGATAAGTGCACTGAAGAGGCTGAATGGCTACGCCATTTTCTCGAGGATATTCCAAGTTGGGAGAAGCCTGTCCCTCCAATATGCATACATTGCGATTGTCAAGCGCAATTGGAAGGGCACAGAGCAATCTCTATAATGGTAAGTCTAGACACGTCCGTCGTAGACATAATACCATTAAACAACTTCTCACAACGGGTGTTATCACTGTTGACTACGTGAAGTCAAAGGATAACATAGCGGATCCACTAACCAAGGCATTGGATAGAGAATTGTTGGAGAAGTTGATGCGAGGAATGGGATTAAAGCCCGTGAATTGAAAAGTTCTATAGTGGATACCCAACCTAGTTGGTCCTAGGTTCAAATGGGACAACTAAATTATAGAGCGAAGGATGGTCACTGTGGGGGTCCCGAACTCCTACCCACTCCTCGTTGAAACAGTGACTCCCGCACGAGGTTAGCAAAAACGTTTGCTTTAATGATTCTAAAATGTTGATCTACTCGATAACATTGGAAGAGTATGCGGGATACTCGTGAAAGAATCACCTATGTGAGAGAGAAGAGGGCCGCTTCAAAGGAGAACTGTAATGGCTCAATTCTTTAGAAACTTTTGCAGAACCAGGACGGTGACCCATGGCCAACACGGGCACACCCATGAGAACGGAACAAGTTGGAAGGTTCTTGTGCAAAGATAAGTCAATGTTTACACTTTACACGACGTCAGTATAGTTCAAAGACATCGAGTCTACTAGACAGCCAGTAAATAAACAAGTCTTTACAGCGGAAGGTTCAAAGGATTAAACCTACCTCTCCGTATACAAGGATCATCTGGTGAACACAACGTGTCCTCCTATCTTCGTGTCCTTTTAAGTCTCGAAAATCAATTTTCATTCATGTGGGGGATTGTTGGAAAAATGTGTGAAAAATTGCATTAAATGGCTATTTTAGGGCAATTTTTTGAGTGGGGTCCACTTCCGATTTGGGTCGGGTCAAAGTGGTTTCGGATTGTCCTTGTTTAGGGCTACAATTCGATATATGGTACGCTCAAAACGGATAACGGGTGAATGAGAAATCGCTTTTCGAAGTTTACCCGTTAGAATGGAAAAACTGGGAAAAGGGATGGGTTTCTAGTGTGTTAATTTCCCACACCGGAAAACCCAAGGGATTTGCAACCCTTTATAAAGGGACTCTCCCCTTAAGGAGTTAAGATTCCTAAGGTTAAAGGCTCTCTCCATGCGCGCGGGGGTGGGGGGGTGGCAAATCAAATCCCGAATTCGGAGAAGAAAAACCGCGACTTGCGTGCGCGGGCGACCTGCGGACACGAATGTTGTCCAAAAATCCATCTCTCAAGAGATATGGATAATTTTTGTTTTCTTCCCGAAACGTTTATTTTTTCTCAGTTGACAAAAGTGCCTAGCGGCAGAAGACCTCGTTCTATATAATGGCTGGCAGGTGGTTTGCAACAACAGACGTTCTTACACGAATTCATACACTCCAAGCACCTTTTGCACCTCAAAAACACACTGCTAGCATTCTGAAAAATTCATTCTGTGTTCAGACTCATTCCCGTTCGCTGGAACTCTTGTTTGTGTGCTCAAATATTAGTTCGTAGTCATCGTATCCTGGGAAACGATTGTTGCAACGCTCCTAGCACCGTGGGAGGCAACAAATACGTTTTAAGGACATCGTGGGTAACACGAGCTTTGACTAATTCTGCTTCATCTCCTTTCTTGTTTTTCTCTAGTCATTTTATTTAATTAATTTATTTTAATTTATTTTCTTTATTTTCCGAAACACACCCAGCAGTATGTTATTTGCAGTTTTGCACCACCAAGTTGAAACGAAGTAATCCAATCTAAATACTCTTACATTATGTGGTCTATGGTAAACTTCACCCTTTCTATCCTTTCTACCTTGGCCTGCTGTGTTGAATGTTCTTAACTTGGCAGGTATGTATGTATGGGCTCACACAGTCACCCGTTGACTGACACACATCAAAGTCAATCCGGTTCTGTTTTTTGCACCACCAAGATTCTAGATGGCTGACACGATCCAGATACATACACGTAGGGAATTAAGGCTGGCTCATTTAACAAGTGGGTTGCTGGATAACACATAAACCATTGGATTAAACATCATTAATGGGTATTGGGCCACTTGGACCAACACCAATTAACTGCACCACCACCCGTTCACACAGGTCAAAACTCTGTCAATAAGGTAACGCCCATCATCATTAGCTGTAAAGAATCACAAAAATTCAAAAATATTACAAGACAGGAGAGAGAGAAAGAGAAAGACAGAGAGTGGGAGGAAGAAGACAAGAGCAAGAGCAGAAAGAAGAAATGGCAACCTTTGCAGGGACAACCCAGAAGTGTAAAGCCTGTGAAAAGACTGTATATTTGGTGGATCAGCTCAGAGCAGACAGTAAGGTCTACCACAAGGCATGTTTCAGATGCCACCACTGCAAGGGCACTCTCAAGGTCTCTCACTTTCTTTCAGCTGTTTTCATGCTACTTCACTGCTTTCAAAGTTGTTAACTTGTTTAGTGGGGTGTTTTTTTATTTAGTTGCTCTGTGTTTAGATGTGTGTCTGGTTTAGTGAGAAATGAATGAAGTGTCATTTTTTGGACTGTGTTAATTGTGCTTTAGTAATCTGATTGTGAGGTAGATTGTTTTCCCCTTCCTGGAGATGATACTGCTATGGGCATTTACTTCCAATTGATTTGAAATACTTAAAATTCCTCTATGGATTGTGTTGTGTGCTCAAGTCATGGAAACCTGCTGGCTGAGTAGTTCAACTCGTTGATCTTATTTAGCAAGTCTTGGGCGTCATTCTACAAGATCAAACTTATAGGAATACCCTTATATGTTGTTGTTATAGCTTGACAAAGCTTGTTTAGAAGTTAGAACAGACCAATCTTGAAGTTCATATGTTTTTTGTTGAGATTTATTAGAATCTAATTGCCTGTAAAGTTTAAAGATAAGATGGCTCTGATAAGATGAGTAGTCTAAAACCATATATACCCCGTATTATTTTTGTACATTGACACTTGTGTTGTGTGGATGGTTTTGCACCATCAAATTGTCCATACGGCATCGTTTGCGGCTAGGACTACTAAGGTATCTAAACCGTTTGCTGTAGGAACCCTGGGGAGGGTGTATCCTTTTTCTTTTTCTTTTTCTTTTTTCTTTTTTTGAATCATGAAAAGTTTCATTCTTCCTTGAGTGTTTAATTAATCCTTGTGTTGGATCCATTTGGATTTTAATGGTTCTGGATCTAGTACTGTATTTTGTTTAGCTTCTGTTTGTGATAGACTCATCTGTTGTCAATCAGTTTCATTAAGAGTTCTATTTATATAATATACTCCGATTTTATTATTATTCCCCCTCATCTTTTTTCTTGTTGTATTTTATTCTTTTATCCTTATATATACAAACATTATTTTTATCCTTTTTATTTTATCATTTTTAGGTATATTCATCTCGTTTTATATTATCTTTTTTATAATAGCTTATTTTTTTAATCTTTATTTTCTTTATTTTCCTTTTGGTGGTGATATCATGTATCGATCCATGTTAGCCGACCCCATTATCTTTTGGGACTAAGGCTTGGATGTTGTTGTTGTTGTACTCTGTATTTTAATTAGTAGTGGTAACTAAAATTTACACATTTAGAAACTCTAATAAAAATTATATTGAATCTTAAGTATTAAATCATGGAGATGCTTCTGACTAAATAAGGAAAAATGTACGTCTGATTGCCACGATTAATGCTTCGCACCTAGCTTCTTTAGTACCCAAAGCAAAAAACTGCTAAAACATAACAATAAGGTCAAGTATCAGTGTATTACTATTGTGATTATCATATTTACAAGCAGCAGCACCTAATATTATAAATATCGGTTTCATGGTTTTCTTGTTTGCAGCTCAGCAATTACAACTCCTTTGAAGGAGTTTTATACTGCAAACCACACTTTGATCAGCTTTTCAAAATGACTGGTAGCCTGGATAAGAGTTTTGAAGGTAAGTGGGCTGCATTTCTGTATTTGATTTCACCTTAGTATGCGTGTGGTTCTCTTCATACCTGAAAGAATATTAATACTTACCAGATTTCATTTGACCCACAATTACCCATCATCCTAATCCTCTAACTTTATTATATTCCCTTTTCAAACCATGTGCAGGGGCTCCAAAAACAGTGAGGGAAAGAACTGCTGATCAGGTATGGAATCTGCATTCTTTCATATTATTAGGACACAATTATAAGTGCCTCTTTTCGCAATTTGTTTCGCTGTTTATTAAAGATGAATCTAGTAGTAAGAGCACTGTGGAGTTAATATGTCATGGATCTCGTTGGAGTAGACCAACCTTGAAATCTAAGTACTTTTTTCTATCTGTAGTCACATCAGTTTCTCATTCGAACTAAATTGACTCTAATCATATATTACGATTTGATATTTCATCGCGAAATATGAACCTAGTAGAATGAGTAGTCCAAAATCTTATACTCCGTATGTTAACTTATATCTTTATATTTGACCACATGATTTAGTGTTGTTTTGGTAAATCTTTTACTAATGCTTACAGTGTGCTGAATTGGGCTTGCAGGGACACTCAAGCACTAAAGTTTCAAGCATGTTTGTCGGAACTCAAGATAAATGTGTGGCTTGCAATAAAACAGTTTACCCCATTGAAAAGGTAGGGTATTTGCTATCTCTTATTCAGCTGGGCAAGAAAAATTATTCAAGATAAGTTCTCTCACATTGAAAACTAAAATTCAGTACAGAAACTCAAAATTTTCAGTTACAGTGAAGGTTCATTTTGCATCAGTTGCTACCTATGCAGCGGCGAAACCGAAAACTAGGAAACCACATTTTAAGACTATGTTTCAGTCCATGAAAATGCTATCGAAAGTAAAGAAAGCGTGAAAGTTATTTTCTTATGTTTGCATTACCTTTGAAAGTGTACAAAAGAGAATGAAATATGGTTAAGGGTATGAAAATATTCATATTTGGTCAGAATTCTTAGTTTTATACAGCAACAACATCCAAGCCTTAGGCCAAGAAGAATTTGGGGTCGGCTACATGAATTGATGCAGGAAATCAGAGCTAGAATACTTAGTTTTATATACTAAATAAAGGAAAATGATATTAGACAAATATAAAAATAAATTTACTGAGTTGCAAACTTGCAACCAATGTTATACTTTCCTCAGCATTTTCTTTCTTTAGAAAATTTCATATATTTTCTCCACTATTTTATTTCCACTAGCATTTCTCGTAATTTAAATGTAACCTAAAAAATGGGTATTTTGAACATATGAAAAAATAAACCTTGTGATTTAGTGACACTGATCCATGAAATCCATCGATGGATATCATCTGATTTGGACCAATGGCGCTAATAAATTGCTGTTTAATATATAGGTTGCTGTTGATGGAACCTCATACCACCGTCCTTGCTTTAAGTGCAGCCATGGTGGCTGTGTGATCAGTCCATCAAATTATGTAGCACATGAGCATAAGCTATATTGCAGGCATCACCACACTCAGCTTTTCAGGGAAAAAGGAAACTTCAGCCAGTTGGATACGAGCGATAAATCTAAGGTTGTCAATGGGAACAGCAATGGGAACGGCAATGGCATCACCGGATCAGTTTAATATTAAATCACATTTAGCGCGGTCATATATATCATCTGGTATCCTGATGTTGAACGAACTTCGGGATAACTTTTCATGGAGGAGTCTGTTGCCGTTGGGGTAAACATGATAGGGAGCTTTCAAAAATGCTTTATGAAGTAGTTTACACACTTAGAGTTTCATTCAGTTGCTGAATCATGCAGTCATTGTCATGACAATGGGTTTCAAGTATTTTCATCAAATCATTCCATAGGCCATTGCTGTTGTTGCCCCTCTTATGACTGCTAGAAAACCTTGTGATACTCTGATGCTTTTACAAGTGAACATCAATTCGTGTGTGATTAATAGTTTATGCATTTCTATTAGTGATATTTTTCCCAAATTTGTGCCTCCGGAATCAGCTCATTCTCATTATTCTACCAAGCTTATCAGCACATCATAGATTGATTTCAACTAAATATTACTTCCTCCCTCTCAATCAAAAGTTCTCACTTTCCTTTTTTGTAAGTTAGTTAAAGATTCTCATTTTCTATTTTAGGCAACATTAAACACTCCTAACTTAATCATCAAATATTAAGAATAATACATGTATAACATCACAGTTATCATCAATAACTCATTATATTATATACTCTTCAAAATTGTTTCTCAAAATATACTTGAATTTACATATTTAATTATTATCTAAATAACTGTGTCATTTTGTAATAAAAACCTTTGAACAAGACGGAGGTAGTACTACGTAGATATTTGTCAAGAGCGTGGACATTGAATCAACCACACCATGCCACTCGGAATTCAGAAATAGACTCTTGGGGGGTTGGCAATGTTTTCATTTAGTTGGAATTTCAAATTATTCCAACAACAACAGCATCCAAGCCTTAGTCTCAAAAGATATTGGGGTCGGCTAACATGAATCGATACATGATAACACCACCAAAAGGAAAAGAAAGAAAATAAAGATAAAAAAAGTAAGCTATTATAAAAAAAGATAATATAAAACGGGATGAATATACTTAAAAAACGATAAAATAAAAAGGATAAAAATAATGTTTATATATATATATAAGGATAAAAGAATAAAAACAAGAAGAAAAAAGATGAGGGGGAATAATAATAATAATACGAGATCACTCCTCCACACAAATACTCGCTCTCCACTTTGCTCTCTCCAAAGTCATACCCTCATCCAACCCAAGAAGAAGCATATCACTTCGGACTCCCCTAACCTACGTCTGTTTGGGTCTTCCTCTGTCTCTCTTGCCTCTTCTCCACACATCTCAACATGTCTGACAGGCGCATCATTCGGTCTTCTACGCACATGACCAAACCACCGTAGGCGAGACTCTCGCACAGTGGCGGACCGAACATGGGGGCAAATGGGGGCTGCTGTCCTCCCAAAATTTTATTTTTCTAGGTATATTTACCCCAAAATTTTAATATATTGGTATTTGTATTTATATTTTTACCCTGCCGCCCATCCTAGCCGGAATTCCTGCGACCGCCGCTGCTCCCGCATCTTGTCTTCAGTAGGTGCTACTTTTACCCTTTGTCTGATTGTCTCATTTCTCACGTGGTCCTTCCTAGTATGCTCACACATCCAACGCAACATGCACATAACAATAGCTGAGTGACTAAACACCGTAAACAGTAAACAAGATAATATATGTACATGTTTTGAAAAGTCAAGAGATAAGCTAAGAGTCCACGTGGCTGAGTAAGTTGTAAGCTCGTTGGACACCAAATGTAGCATGAATGGGCATGCATGCATACATACGAGCTGTCTACCACACCCCCGCCGTTGGAGCGGGAGGTGGTTGGACAGTGGGACAAAATCGAAACTCATATGAGAGAAAACAAGGGAATCGGGTGTGATAATCGAGTATTTGGATTTATTAAGAATCGTATAAGTTCACTTTCCGAATTAATGTTTCTCCCATATATCTGGGTTACAAGAAATTCAATCTAAGATGATCATTAAGGACACTCAAGAACTTAGGCACAAGATATAGAGCACAAACTAGTGAGTATATGGATTGCTTTCTTTAATTTGAGTGTCAAAGTGATAAAGATATGTTGTATATCTTGTCTCTATCTTCTTTGTACCAAATATGGTGATATATATATTATTCCGGCCAGGCCGGACCACTCCCCCGTCCGGCCACCTCAATTTGAGGTGGTTCCCGGTGGTATTTTTTGCCCAAATTTTTTGTGTATGTTCCTCATCCAGTCTAGTTCATCCATACTAAATTTGAGCAAAAATTCAATCGGGAAGGTTGTCAAATGATTTTTGCAAGTACACTGCGTTTTATATGTATATTCCGGACCAGTTAACTTTCAAAAATCATTTGACGACCTTCCCGATTGAATTTTTTGCTCAAATTTGGTATGGATGAACTAGACTTGATGAGGAACATACACAAAAACTTTGGGCAAAAAATACCACCGAGAACCACCTCAAATTGAGGTGGCCGGACGAGCCTCCTGTCCGGCCTGGCCGGACAGGAAAAGGACTATATATATATGTGTGTGTGTGTGTGTGTGTAGGGATGAGTTCAAGTAAAAAGTAGTCTTCCCATGAAAAGTGAGAACAAATCTTGGCCTTTAATTACTTGCAAATGGATGGACTAGATGAAATTTAATCACAATACACGTTGTCAAAAAAGTGCAAACATTTATAATATAAAGTGGATAGATAATGAACAAAAGTGTACTCATAAGTGATAAAAAGATTGTTAATTTGCTTTTAATTTGTGCAGATTTTATTATGTACCGTAATGCACCTTTTTGCTCTACATTTGCACTTTTTGAAATTCCTCGTACACATTTGTTACAATAATTTCATTCAAAGATCATCATAATTACCAAAATGCCACCGCGTTTCCAACTTAAAATTTGATCTCTTCCATCCATTTTTTAACATCAATGGCCAAGATTAGTTCTTATTTTTCATCTAGGAACCACTTTTTATTTGATCCAAAGTCTATATTAATCGTTCCAAACAGTTACAATCCGTTTGGGAATAATCGTGGCAATTTTTGGAAAACTACACGAAACCGCCCAACCGCTCTAGACCTCTGTCTAGAACCACAGAGTTGGTCTACTGAGCGTTCTACCTTAAGTTCCACAAGTGTGCACTCCGCACCTACTAGCTTGTATTAGAACACAATTTTAATTCCCATTGACACTCATGTCATTTCCAATTACACAAAATGGTCGGTGACACTAAAATCACCAACAATCCTTCCCATTTTAGTGTAACCCATGAAATGACATAACAAATTTTACAAACCAAAACTTGTACATAAATGAAAATGCCGATACGATTGAACTTTCATCTTAGTAATTTACTAATTTACACATTCCAAATATTCGAGAATCAGGGTGTCCTATGGATTGAACCTGTCAACCCATTTGAATACTTGAAGATAAAATACATACAAGTTTCTATACTCAACTAGAATACAAACTTGACACAACTATAAAGACGTGTGTCCTAATCTCATTCATGACCGTATAAAAGTCAAGTCCCAAGCCTTTTGAAGCGCGGCTACACTTCACAATCATATAGGTAATTCTTTTATTCATGTACCTGCTTACATTTTATCAAAGGAATTGTTAAGAAATAAATTCAACCTCCCTACTACAGGTCCGAACACACGCCTTGGGATGATTTTGATTGTGTGTTCCAATCCATAAGTGTGAGCTCTCCGCATTGAATGCAGTCTCTAGCGTTGTATTAGAGGGGATTGGGTGTCTCACCATTAAGGATTTAAATGGACTTTAATCTCATCTCTATCACGAACTTGTGCACTAAGTCTCGGGCGGACCCCCAACAAATTTTTTTCTTTGTGTATATATATACCAAAAATAATTTTTGCCCTCCCAAAAAATATTTTGTTTAAGTTACCGCCCTCTCAAGATAAACTTCCTAGGCCCGCCCCTGGTCTCGGGGCAAGCGTTTTGTCAAGTGATCCGACAAGTTATGTTGCGATCTTACAGACTCCACCGGAACTGAGGTAATAATAACTTTAGTCATAGTCACTCTATATGTCATATCAGTGCCGACCCTACCAAAACTCGAGCCTGAGGTAAACTTAATAAAAGACCATATACATTATTATTTTCTGTACTATAATTTTCAAAATTAAACATCATAAAAATGACTAATTAAATAAAAATTACGTTAATGTCAAAGGATTTAAATAACTAATTAAGTACAACTCGCCCGACAATTTCAGGTACAAAAGTATCAATTAAGTCGGCATAATCTCGATGTTCAATAAATTCTTTCTCAATAGATAACATAGCTGGATGTGCTATCATTGTTTTGTTCGAAATCAGGTACTTATTTATATTTCGAGCTTGACTTTAGATTAATGAATCAATATGTGATTTCCTTTTCCTCTTTGAAACCCAGACATGAATTTTGGAGGCATGATACGCAAAAAAAAAAACCTGATTTATTGAGCCAATGTAAGTATAAAAATTATAATTAAAATATCTAAAAATGAAATATTGTTAAGTAAAAAGAGTTTTATATTCTGGACACTCACTTCAAATTCGACCAAAACGTCTTTGGTGGGTTAAATTAGATCATATACTTATTAATGAAGTAAAAACATAAAAGTCTTTAACTTATTTCATACTCCGTATATGATTATTGATTAATAATCAAATTCATTTTTCACCGACCCAGTTCTCAAGTTTCTAACACAAAAATCACAATTCACATCGCAACTTAATCACAATCACAGAATCAGATATATTTTTATTATATTTTGGTAGCTATAAATCCTTTTAAGGCTTTAAATACAAAAAAATATGAGAAATTTAGAAGCTAAACAAAAAAGATGAAGGATTAACCTTGACACTTAATATTCAAGTTTGCCCTATTGTGGATCTATTAGTCCAGGCTTGAACAAGGGAATCACAAATCGCCTTAAACCCCTTTTTCTTCCACTTGTGGACTGTGTCGTCTGTGCGCTGATGGCTGTTACACTTCTAAACTCGTCGCCTTAAGCCCTTAATTAATTTGGTAATTGTGGACTTTGGGGTACTTTTCCTTTTTGGGTTGGCACTTGGCAAAGGAAGTCAATATGTAATTTAAAGGGAAAATGAAAACTAATAATCCAACCTTTTAACAATCTTCTTACAATAGTCCCACATCTCCATTATTCATGAATAATCCAACCTTTGCACCTCATCTTGATTCACTGGTCTCTGATCTGTTGATGACCTGCTATTCCAACATATTTTCTTATCTTTGCAAATCATTATACCATAAATATCACCTTTAACAATGATAATATTTTGCAAAGATAAGAAAATAACTTGAAATAGCAGGTCATGAACCGGTAAGGGACCATCGAATGAAGATGGGGTGCAAAGGTTGGATTATTCTTGAATAACGAAAAGGTGAGACTATTGTAAG